AACTATGTTTTCTATCTTTATCTTGCATCTACATACCACTTCAGCATTTTATTAAAAATAATAATAATAATAATAATAATAATAATGGAGTAATGTGGGATTCACATATAAATCAAGTATAAAAATCAAACGAATAATCATAATTGACCTGATTGTTTATAGTTCATGATGCGTGATCAAAACCAAAAGTTTCTGTGATGACTGCCCTTGCACTGTTCACCATGTAAGAATCTGTTCACCATGTAAGAACTTGTTCGTTATGCTTCAGAAGATTGGAGACTGTTGAGAATTAGGCTTGGGGTTGATGAATGATTGTGCATTGAGTACCCTATACAGAATTTTATTGTTGTTAACAACCATTTGATCAATAAATATGAGATGCCCTCTCAGAGATAAAATAAAATAAAATAAAATAAAAAGGGCTCAAAAAATAAAATAAAATAAACAAATAAAACCAAATATTACAGTCTAAGCCACCACAGTGATCGGTCCCAAATGCCACGCACTTCTCCAGGTTCCAGCGGCAGACCCAGATGAAATGACCTTCGGCCACACATTTCACTGCAGATTGTGTCCGCAATCTATACAGTAGTAATTGTGAAGCGCTAAGAGGAACACCTAACACTGAGCTGGGGAGGGCGTACAGTAACCGCCACTCATCGTTCTGGCAACTTCGCAGGATACTCCTCTGGGCTCCCTTTATGTCATAGGAGGAAAATGAGGCTTAGCCACGGCAGAGTTCTCACGCGTTAAGCCCCGACTGGCTTTAACAAGGGCCCTCTTTGGGGTAAGGTGACCGCGCAGGCCGTCCAGAGGCCGCAACCTCAGCGACGCAAAGCTGCCCTCGCGGAGCCACCCCATCCGCCCGCAGGGACTGCGCCTGCGCACTCCGACGCTCGCGCCGCGCCCCCGCAGCCTTGTGGGAAACGTGGTCCGGCGCCCCCAGGCGGAGGCGCCGGGCGGAACCGCGTCCGCACTGGCTGCCGCCGCCCCTGCCGGGTGAGTGCGGGGCTGCGGGGGGTCGCTTGGGGTCGTCGGAGGCCCGGAGCGGAAGGGACTCACACGGCCCGCGAGACCCCGAGGGGCGGGGCCGACGGCGGGTGGGCCGAGGACCGCGTCCTCCCAGCCCCGCGCAGCGCCAGGCCGCCGGCTCCAGGTGCGCTCTCTCTTGCCTGGGAACCCCGAGAGGGAGGGTCCCCGGATGCGTTTTTTCACCGCCTGTCCCGGGAGCACCGAGGGCGGGGGCCCCGGGGGTCGGAGGTTGCTGAAAGCTCTGGGAGCCGCGCGGACGCTGGGCTCCCCCGCCGCCGGCTTTCCCGGGACCCGCCTGGGAAGCCTCGGATGCTGGACCAGGGTGCGGGCTCTCCGGGCTCCAGCAGCCGCCCTTTGTGTGAGCCGCATGTCAGGGACCCGTCCTCTGTGGTTTCCGATCCAGCAGGATGCTGGCGTGGGCTCCTCTTGACCCATCTCCGCAGGAATGGGGAGGCCAGCTCTGTGCAGATTACCACCTCAGTGAATCGTTTTCTTCTTTTTAAGCAATTTTTTTCCCTTCTCAACAACAACAAAAAAGTTCCCTATAGGACAAATGGAAAATTAAGCGGAGGGAAAAACCATTTGAGAACTGTCAAAATCTTCATGTCAGCGTATATATCTATAAACAAAAATGCTTTGTTTTTAAACAAAAATGGAGATGTTAGTAACGTTTACTGTTAAAAATAAAATACATCTGATAAGAGGTTTAAAGTGCACGAATTATAAGCTTCATGATTTTTTATATTTTTATCTGTACCACTCAAGGAGAACAATTTTTTTTCAAAAATATAGTATTTTGAGAACATCTGCTTAACACCAATTTTTAAAAAATTTACCTAAGTCATTTTAAAGAGTGTAAACAATTAAAATATGTGCCATATTTAATCCTCTCTTTTAGCCTTTGTGTTCTCAGGGCTTTTTTTTTTTTTCAGTATTATAAACAATATAGGCCATTTAGCTTTGCACTCGTCTCATTTTATAAATTTCTCCACGTGAAGTTTCTGGTTCATGCTGTAAGTCTTTTGGTACCTCCTGTCTTGTTCTCTCCAGAAAGTGACAATTTAGAAACTTTTGCAATGTAAGAGTTCCTGATTGACCCACACCCGGTCTGGGTGTTACTATTCTCTAATTTTCTGAAAAGTGCAAATGATAGGGTTGTTTAAATTTTCACTTTGAACACTAATATTTTTATAAAATTTGCATTTTGTTTTAAACTTTGTATCTGATACACAAGTATGTTTCCTTACTATGCAGAAATACTACATTTTCATATAGTCAGACACGAAACCCTCCTTTCATGTTTGGATCTTTGACACCATTGTTAGGAGACCTTCTATTCCCCTTGTGACCACAAAAAAATGTTCATCTGCATTTTCTCCTAGTTACTTTAGTTTCATTTTATGCACACATTTTTCTTCTTTTCCAGAAGGTAAGCCCCTGTTCCAATTATTGATAAATTAATTGATGGGAAATGCTACTTCATATCATGAATTCTTACATATATATTTTTTCTTGAATCATTTAGGTTGCAGGGTTTATACTTGTTCCGCTGACCCTTTTCCCTGTTAGACAATAACATCCATGAGGGCAGAGAATATATGTTTTGTTTCCTGCTGTATTCACCCCCTCCCCAAGGAATGGTGCCTGGTATACAGTGGATAGTTAACAATATATAGGTGAATGAGTGATTTTGCTTATCCTGTAACACTGTTCTAATTATTGTGGTTAAGTAGTATCTGGTGGTTTAGTTCTCTGCTCATCACTATTCCCTTTCAAAAACTTCCTGGCTATTGTTATATAACACAATTAACTTAAAAAAATCTTTTCCACAATTAACTTTAAAATATTATTAGGCATAACTTGGTTAGGAATGTGTTGTTTAGAAATTAATTTCAAAGGAGTGACAACTTAGGATGTTGTGACATCCTACCCAGGAATATGGCATGTCTCTTTCTGTCCATCTTCCTTTATCTAAATAAGCTTAATAAGTAAATTTGATGCATACATATTAGTTTTCTTTATGTAGATATTGTACACTTGCTTCATCTATAGGTATTTTGCTTTTTGTTGTTGCAGGAGTCTTGTTCCTCATAGCTTCTTTCCTTCCCTCAGCTCTCCCTCCTCTGGACCCTGCCTATCCCCTAGGATCCAGCAGGGAGAAGAAGGCAATGGCTGCTGGGCCTCTTGCACTGAGAGCTCAGGTGGGCTCATCCTTCTCTCTCTGACCTTTCTCTTACTACTGCTGAATGTGGGCTTCATTACAGAGGATGGGGCTACTGAGATCTCCGAATGTTGGATTGTTTCCCACAAAGCTCCGCTCAGGGTCCCTTGGCTGGGCTCTCAGCTGTCACTTCTCATTCAGCTGGATACCCTGGCCAGCAGAGGTCTTGGAAGTGTTCGTGGGTCAGAAGAGGACAAAGGTCCTGGTGCTTACAGGCTCACGGACTCTCGGAGGACCTAGAAGAGGTCACATCTCTGCAGGCACAGGCATGGTGGCTGCGCATGGCACATTAAGAACAAATGTGTTTAAGTACCCAGACTGTTAGTGGAGCCTGCTAGTTTTTGCTAGAACCTGGAATTGTTGCTTTTGTGGAAGAGGAAATAAGACATCAGGGGAACTTGGCCCTGTAGATCCTAGATTTTGTTTTGTTTTCTTTTTAAGGTTAGGCTTAACCTTGTTTGCAATCCCACAGGACTTGTGCTGAGATCATGTATTAGGGTTCTCTTAAATATATCAAAGGAACTAGTTTGAAAAGGGCTTCATTAAGACAAGGATTACTGGTGTGACTTCTGTGTGTACTCCTTCCTCTCCTCAGCATCATCAGGCTCAGTTATAAAATGCAGTGCAACTGGCACAAACACCTGCGAGAGAGAAGGAGCTCATTTCAGGGGAAGGGGGGAGGTTTAAGGTGAAATGTCCAGAAGAGTTTGGTTGATTGAAAGTTGTGGTTTGGTTGTTGGTGGCCTTGATTTTTTTATTTAGTTAAAATAGTGGTAACTGAATTTTTAAATAAGCAGGGTTTTTTTCAGGTATAGGTTACATAAAATAATTATTTTAAAGCATATAATTCATTGAATTTTGACTTAATTTATTTACCAACGCAACCACCCCACCCATCAAGCTGTAGAACACTTTCATCATCCCCAAAAGTGTCCTCACTCCCTTCCAGTCCACACCCCTCATCCCAGCAATCCCTAGTTTAATTTCTGAATCCCTTAGTATATGTGCCTAAGAACAAGGCCCATGTTTTACATAACCAAAATACAGTTGCCAAAGTGAGGAAACTTACACTGCTACAATACTGTCAGCTGACCTACAAGCCTTACTTACAATTGGCCACAAATGCCCCTTACCGGGTGCAGGATCTAATGAGGGCACAACTGGCATTGACTGTTACAGCTTCTGGGTCTCCCTTAATCTGGAACAGATCCTCAGTCTTTGTCTTTGACATGGGGACACCTTTGAGGAGGAGACTGATTGACTTGGGACACATACCAGTGAAGCGTTAGTGCTCTTTGTGATTTCTTCTTTCCTCATGTTTTCAACTTCCCTGTATAGCCAGTGACGTGACTATGAATTGCTCAGATATGACTTGTATCTGCCTTTAAGTGTTAGCTTCTTTTTCTGAATATAAACATGAGGCATATAGCTGTAAAAAAACTTTAAAGCTCTAAGACATACTTCCAGGTCTTAAATCCTCAAAAATTACTATAGATACACATTCTTCTAGCTTTTAAAATATCTCTTTACATCCTTTGTCCATTTTTATATTGAAGTATTATATATAAAGAAGCCTTTTATATAATGTGAATACTAGTCCTTTGCCAGAAATTGCAAATATTGTTCCCTGTCAGTTTTCTTTTCCTGCTACAAATACATTTTGAAGTTTTATGCAGCTAGCTTTTGTTTGGCTTTGGAATCATGCTATGAAAGGCTTTCTGTACCCTAAGATATTATAAAAATACTTTTCTGCATTGCCTATTAGCTTTATTTTAAGCTTATATCCTTGAGCTGTCTGGAATTCATTTTTACATTGTGAAGTGGGAATCTAACTTCATTTAACATGGTGCAGTGAAGCATTTCATCTGCCATCCCTTCATTAAACAGATTTTTAGCACCTGCCTACCATGTGCAAAGCTGTTCTCAATGCTAGGAGGACAGCAGTGAATGAGACGGGCACGGTCCCTTTCTCCTAGACCTTATCTTCTAGAAAGGGGAGGCAGCAGTGAAGCAGAAATATTACTGGGCTGTGATACTTAACACACAGATTAACACAGATTTTTTTTCAATAGATATATTGAAAAATTTTTTGGAGACATGCAACAATTTGAAAAGATATTTTCCTTTCTCTAGCTTACTTTATTGTAAGAATACAATATGTAATATATATACAAGATATGTTAGTTAACTGTTTGTGTTTCAGTTAAGGCTTCCAGTCAACAGTAGGCTATTAGTAGTTAAATTTTTGAGGAATCAGAAGTTATATGTGGATTTTCAATTCCATGGGGTCAGCACTTCCAACTCCCATGTTGTTCAGGACCAGCTGTTTAGATATGTGTGTGTGTGTGTATATATATATACACACACACACACACACACATATATACATGTATACACACACACATGCTTATACACACGTTTATTTTTCTGAATTACATTCTATTGCTCTATTTCTACTATAGTACCACACCATCTCATTTGTTGTTTTAGAATTTGTTATTTCATAAAGCAAATATTTTTCTTCTCAAAATGTGGTGACTGTACTATTTTTATACATTTATCCTTATAGTCAAATTTTGTTAGCTATTATTACGTTCCAAAAGTAACAGTTAAAAATTTCACTAAATCTATATCAATTCAAGGAAGACTAGTATCTTTACAATGTTTATTTTTTTTATCGAGTAAAAACATTACCACTCATTTTAATCAGATCTTCCTTATGGCTTCTGTTAAGTTGATCATGAGGAACTTGCGTATTCCTATTAAGTGTATTCTGAGGTATCATGAGGAACTTGCATATTCCTATTAAGTGTATTCTGAGGTGTTTCCTTCTTTGTTGCTGTTGTGACTGTAAGTCTGTAAAAAAATTTTTTTTGGATTGCTGAGAATTATATCTGAAGACATTTTTGCCTCTGGGGTGCCTAAAACTTCATTAGTAGCATACTTACATCACTTAAAATATCCCTACTTATTCCACTCGATGCTCTGCCTTTTGAAAGAATAACAGTATCCAAAAGCCTGTGTTTTTAAGGTTTAAGAAAATGTCTGCATGAGTGAGATAAACCCATGAAGCTGCTTATTTCATGAGTTACCCTGTGCTCTATGTAGTGCTGGGGAGAAAAAGACCCGTGGTGAGTGGAAACCAGAAAGGAAGAAACATCTTAAGGAATTAAGAATAAATACACTTTATGAATAAGAATTAACAACATACACATTTTATAGACAATATTGGTAGGATTTACTTTTGCCTTTTAAAACTCCTTTCTGTGCTTACCTAAACCACTGCTTCACAAGCCTGTGGCTGGCACAGAAACCCATAGTACGTTCATAATGGACACAGACTCTGGGGCACATTTGGGGACTCTGCATTTCAGGTGACAACAATCTAGGGAAGTGAGGAAGACCAGTGTACAGCCCATAGGAGACTGAATTCAGGCTTTTAAGTTTGCCCAAAATATTCAGCTAACAAGGAAATGTACTGAAAAAAAGTGGTCTACTTTCGGAAAAAGAATGTCGTATTTCTGATCTGTTGTCTTTTCTTAAGGCACATTATGTTTTGTTTCTGCATATATGCTACCTTATCTTGAATTTATGCATGTTCTCCCTGCTTTCTATCTGTATTTGCCTGCAGTATCTTGTCTCTACAAGTTGACACATAAAATTAACCATCACACTCATAAACAGATACTGAATGCTTATGGTGTTTTCCCAGTCTAAGGGCTAGAGAATAAGGCTGCAATGGACTCATAAATTTGGGATGCCATTTTCAAGTCAAACCAGGTGACTTATTGGTTCTCTCATAGACCAACCACATTCTGGATTTATCCTGTTTGCACATGCTTCCCCCATTAACTGGGTTTCCCACCTATATTATAAAGCCTGACATTCCATGTGCTGCCTTGGTAACTCTGAGCCTCACAGGGCTCCAAAGACCTAGCCATGAGTTCCCTCATCCTCCCTAGATATCTCCCCACCCAGCAGTGTGGCTGCCCACCCAGGGAGCTCCTCATCAGCCTGAGCAGGTGTACCACCCCCAGTCCTCAATCTAACAGGTTTCACCTCCCCACCAGTCCACGAACTTGTTTGAACTGAAGGGCAAGCTCCCAGATTCTATTTCAGCCAATTGGGACCCGGATCCTACCTCAGCCAATTGGGACCCAGATCCTAATTCAGCCAATCAGAGGTTGGTCTCTCTACAGTCAGCAAGGAGCCCACCCACCACCTTAGACCCTGCCAATTGACCAGAGCCACGACTTATCACCCCCACCAACTACTCTTAAACCCAGCCAATCAGTCAGAGCCACGACCATCACCCCACAACCGCCCTAGAACCCCATAAAACCTTTGTGTTTTTGAAACTCGCTCTCTTTCTCTGGCATCTTGCCACTGCATTGGTGCTGATGAGAGATTGAGCTCGAGGTAGCTTGAATAAAGGCTCTTTTGGTGTTAGCTCCTTGGTGGCCTTCTGGGATTCGCGACTTTGGGCACAACAGAACAAGCCAATTACATCTTCCCACAGTAACCAAGGTCTCCTCTCCCTCTTGTCACTACAAAGCCTGCTGCCCACAACCCCTGCTGGCTCCCGAGTAGCCCTGTATGGCATGCAGTGTCCTCGTCCCCTAGGCTGAAGGATACATGACTGATAAATTGCTGTCAGTTTCACCTGTCCAGTGCCGGGCATCATCTGTTCAGTCATCATGTGTTATTTGGGGTGGGGACCCCTTCTTCCCAATGGAGTGAACAGGAGGTGATAAGAATGCCACCTGTTCTTCTCCAGTGGTAATCTATAGAGCCTTCAGTACTTTCCCTAGTGCTCCCTTATACCCCTCTGCCTATCCTTAAATGCTGAAGCTCTTTCTAGGTTGTGCTTACTGCTGATCATTTCATGACAATAACCTATTTTTGTTGCAGGTGTTTAGTTTCTTTAGGAGGAAAACACATTTTTCTCACATAGATCTCTATCCTGTCCCTGTTCATTGTTTGCTTTTTCACTTTCCTCAGAGAATTTTATTTCCATAACCCTTTGTTGAGGAGGAATTTATAGTTTCAGGAGTCTGACATTCGTGGATGTGTCTGTGGATTTCACTTAGGAGGAGTGGACTCCTCTAGATTCTGCCCAGAGAAACTTGGATGGGAAAGTGATGCTGGAAGACTACAGGAACCTGGTTCCGCTGGGTAAGGAACCTGTCCTTCTAATTCCAAACCTACCCATTGCATCTATCCCCCGTTTTGACATCTTACACAACCTCCAGTGTATCAGTTTGGACTTGCAGCCCTGATATTAATAAGGCATTGTTTCAGGGTAGTTGCTTGGTGTCCTCTCTTGCAAGGTGAAAGGTCTTTTGTAAAGAGAATGGAAAACGGAAACCTTTGTTTCAGAAGCCCTGGAGGAGAATGGATGTGCTGGGAGTGGTTTTCATATTCAGTTCAGAATCCAAATTTAGTGCCTTTCCTCCTGAGCAGAGCATCCGCTTTCCAAACCAAAGGTGATTTCTCAGCTGGAACAAGAAGAACTGAGCCAGATGACAAAGGAACTTCCAGGGAGCATCTCTCCAGGAAAGTGTCAGGCTGCAAGGGCTTGTCACCTTGGGCAGCAGTACTTTCAGAGGTCCCCAGGTGTCTTGGAGTTACCTGCACCAACTGATGTGCAACCTCACAGATGCGTCCACATCATACTCCCTCAACGTCAGTCATCCTCGCTCAGGCTGCGTAGGTCCTTCCCTGGGAGGAGCTCATACCTGAGGAAAATTAAATGAGTTACTACATTTGCAGCACTTCCTGATCACCTGGAAAATACTGAACATTCAGTAAATGCTGGCAGTTGTTATTTCCTCTTCTGTCTTCATCTGTACTTTGAATCTCTTTGTCTTTCTGTCTCCCTCTACTGTATTCCCTTTATGTTCTGTTTGTCTTCTCAGCCGTAATAACCTATATCCATAGCTTCCTTTTCCTTTCCTGCATTCATTTAAGTATTTGTCACCTTTTAAAGGAAACTAACATTTCTCTTCCTGTGTTGTAGCAATGCTTTATACAGTCTTCATTTAAAAACAAATGAGAAAAAGATTGTTAAATAACTTGTTATTTTGACTAGTAACCTTACATCTTATGAATTTTTCTCATTCCGAAATTTGTAATCTGCATCTCCCACTATTCAATCTCATTTTCCTCTAAACATTTAATGCTTCTTAATTTGTTATCTGGCTTCTAATTTGCATCACAAGTGAAATTTCTCTCTTAGCGATTATCACTGACTACTCAATATGCAAGTGTTGAGCACCAACTCTTGTTATGCAGTTTTAAAGAGATAGGCAATGTTTTTTGATCTCTGGATAATGTATGTTAAGTATAAAGCAATAGAAGATATCAGTAAAAGGACATTGATAGCAAAAGAATATCATCTTACGAACACTGCTGCTGGTTTCTAGGAAGCTTTCTAAAGAAAAGGATTCTAGAAGGATCAAGTCAGAGAATAGATACATTTTTATGGCTTATGCTACATACTGTTCAAGTTTGGATTTTTTAAAATACTAATTTATTAGGTATAAAATGATCCCTTAAGGTAACTTTAATTGCCTTTATTATAGATTTCTGTGGCTTTGATTACTGTTATTTGTGTTTATTCTTAAGTAAACAACCTATTTATTTGACAGATTTTTTTGAGCACTAAGCCCTGTTCCTAGCACTGGAATGCAGCAATAATCAAAATGGGCAATCTTCCTATAGAGCTGATAGTCTAGTGAGGGAGATAATAAATTAATAAAGAAAGATGGCAGGGAGGGAGAAGGGAGAGGAAAAGTGAGAGGCAGGGAGGGAACCAACAGCAGGGTCCTAGCACTGTGTGCAAAAAGGTGGTGGCAAAAGGGAACTAGGTCAGTTAGCCAGAGTGCTGTTCTGTAGGGGAGATCAGGGAGGGCCCCTCCTTCAAGGTGACTGCTGAGCAGATACTCAAAGTGGTGAGCAACGTTGGAGAACATGGCACAGGAACAGCAGGTGCAAAGACCCTGTGGTGGATTGCCAGGGCATTGTTTGAAGGGAAGAGTGTGAGATGGGAAAATTTCCTTAAACTGTCTTTAAATCCTGTGAAAAAATTGATTATCATATTTTTTTATTTCTATGAGCCTTATTCTCTGAGTGTTCCTTCCTTTTAAATATCAGTCTTTTTAAATGCATACGTTAACTTCTCTGTACGAGGATATTTACTGATTTTTTTGGTTTGGTTCTCTGTGTGTGTATGCAGCATTTTTTCCCTTGGTCTCTAGCTTATTTTAGGAGGTTTGTATATGCTTTTTTCACTGTCCCACTGTCATTCTGGTTGGTTTTCTGGAGGTAGGAGAGGTAAACACATGTATCATTGATACTGTTTTTCCCTCCCCTTCCCTACCTGTCTTCAGACTTCTCCACTGGGCTGAATCCTGAAGATTCTTTGCTTGTTTATGACTGCACTTCACACTGTATCTTCCTTGTCTCTTTGAAAGTCTGTCTAGCCACTAGTAGGTAGACTCAGTGAACTGTCATGATGGAGCTTACTTTTCTGTGTATCCCCTGCCTAGCACATTGCCTGCCAGACTAGGTATTTAATGTTTGTTGAGTGACTACTGAACATCAAGTAGAATTTTTAGAAATCAGGTGAAAATTTAGATTTGAGAGTTATGACCATATTTGTGACACTCATTTCCGTGAATACTGTTAATTATCCATTATCCAGAAGAGTGAGTGAGAAGGGCAAAGCAGCAAGGATGGGACACTAAAGAACAGTATCTGATGGGGGCCCAAGCAAAGGTGGCCGAAAGAGAGTGCAGCTGTGCCAGGAGGAAAGGGAACATGTTGTGGCCTTAGCTGCAGTGAAGTGGCCTGTGGCCCAGGAAGAGCACTTTGGGTGTGGAGGGAAGGGGGAGTGCGGGGAAGGGTGAGGATGTAAACAGGTAAACACTTTAAAGTACAGATTGTCGTTTCAGCCAGGCTCACTTTGGAGGGAAGGGAAGAAAGAGCAAGAACTGAAAGAAGTCAGAGCTAGAGTGCCTCTGATTTACTTACCAAAGAAGGGACTTGAGGGTATTTGCAAGAGCAGAGAGGAGAAACTAAAGACCCAGAAAAGCGGAGCAAGAGATGGAGCCCAGAAACCATGATGGTGTGCAAACTCTACGTCTTGTTCTTCCCATGTTTTCTCCGATGTCACTGCCAGATGAAGCTACCGTTGAATCTTAATCTGTCTGATGCCAGGACAAGAAAGTATCGATGGAGTGCTATGGTCTGCTCTTCCCCAGGCATCATCTGATTCATTCATCCCAACAATCCTACAGGGTAGGTACTATCAGCTCCTTTTTCAGTGGAAGAGATGGGCTCAGAGAGGTGAAATGACGTGCCAGAAGTTGAACACAGGTTTTTTGTTTGGTTTGGTTTGCTTTTGTCTTCGAGTTTAATGTTAATTCTAAAAATAATAATAATTTTCTTTCCTTTCTTTGCTGTTACTTCTTATTTCCTAATATATCTACTATAAAGAGAATCTCTACATCCTGGACTAATTTTCCTTTTAGATGTTTTCTTTTTCTATACTAAATTTTTTCATGTGTAGACAGTTGTTGAAATACTTCCTCAGTTTTTGTTCCTATCTTATAAAAGCTGAGTAGAAAATGTTTCTAGAGACAATATTGCTAGTAAATATGTTAATGTTGAACAAAGATGGGTATTAGTAATGGGGAAAGCAGTGAATTTTTAGACTTTAATCCATGGTCATTAGACTTACATCATGATGTTTAGTTATAAAGGAAACAAACAGAAGTTAAGAACATGTATAAAAATGTTGGAAGTCTATCAAATAATGTCTAAAAAAGTAAGGTATAGTTAGGGATTCTGTACCATTTTAAGCTCTCTAAGAAGTTACTCCTAATTACCATTAAACACAGAAACCTGTTGTTTGCTTTTGTTGTATCATTCTCAGAGAGGTACTGGGTGACTGACTACCTGTGTGTGTGAACATATACATTTGTACACACAGAAAGTTTATATACTGTCACAGAGTCCCTGTCTACCTTCATGCTAACCTGAGCCTCACTAATGTTTAGTACAGAACACCTATCTCTGCTTCCATTAGTAGGAAAACTGATCTAAAAGACTATAATAAATGTAGGAGTACCCGAAAGGCTTGTTCATCCTTGCACAGGGTGGGCCCCCAGCCTCAGGGCCTCAGCTCTGGTGGCTCCTGCTGGGACGCTCTCCCTTTGATAATCTTTTGACTTTCCTCAGCTCCTAAAGTCTTGGCTTCAGTGTCAGCTTTTCAGTGAGGCCTTTCCTGATGACTATTTATAATTACAAACCTTCCCTTCACAGTCATGTTCTTGTTTTCATTTTATTGCTTTTGTTTTTTCCATAAAGTATACCTCTTAAAAACTAAGTATTTTACTCGCCATGTTGATTGCCCTTCTTCCTCTCACTAAAATATAAATTCCTTGAAGGCAGAAATATGTTTTGTTTGTTGCTGTATCCTTGAACAGTGCCTGGCTCAATAAATACTTAATGAATGATTTACGGTGTTCAGAAGATCTGGCTGCTCGACAGATAATGCACTGTAAGTGGCAAATGTAAGTAGGAATTCCAGTTGGGTGCACACTGAAATCATCTGGCTGTGCAGAAGGAGTAGCTGAACTATTGTGCAAGGGGTAGAAGAAATGTAAAAGGAGAAAAGAAAGAAATCAACTTGCCCCAGAAAAGGCAAGACCTGCTGCCCAAGCCCCACACCCACCCCACCCTCTGCAGGCTCTTGGCCTCTGTTGTAGCAGGTACCGGCAGTAAACACTGAAGGATCTGTGCTTCTTCGGGACCACTGGATCTGGGAACTCTTGCTCCTGTCCTGACAGGCACCAAAATTATGTACATCCCACAAGTTAACTAGGCATTCCAAGGTGATAAGAGAGTAGGGAGTATGGGCTCTCACACAAAAGTCAGGTTTAGGAAGAAAAGAAAGGAAGAGAGAGCTGTATATTGTTTAACATACACTAGTAATGGTGATAACAGCAGTGACAGTCATTGAGCCCTTATTGTGGTTACTATGCACATTAGAGGATCATTAATTTAATGAGAGACAAAATGGTCAGGGTCTGAAAGGCTGTCCGATCCTGGAAGAGCTACGGTTTTTGATCCTTAGTCCTCAAGTTCTAAGCCCTCAACACTTCACTAACTATGAGTAAGGCCACCCTAACGATTTTCTGTTTTCCAGGGAGACTGTCATGTACTGTGGGGAAAATAAAATTTCCTCTCAGTTGGTCACACTTTTGGAACAGTATTAAATACAGGAGTAGTACTGAGCATCATGCCGTGATTCTGTTGTCACTGTGAATTCTTTTAGTGTTTTATTTTTTGGTTGATAATATTTTTGTTAATATTTTTATTTTCAAATCAGGATTGGATGCTTGATATTATCAAATGCTTTTGAAGCATCCATGAGGTTGATCATATGTCATATGCTGATCATTAAGAATATGCTTCCATTTTCTCAACACGTGTAGATTTCTGGCCATGTGGAATTTTTGAGTCACACCAGTCCTCCATCCTTTGTACATGACTCCACTCTTTTTTTGGTTTCCCATGTTCTTGGAGAGATCTCTTAGGCCAGTTTTTAAAATTCGTAGGTAACCTATTTTCTTCTTAAACAGCAAATCTTCAGAATTAACTTTTAAGTTAGATCTCTAAATTCCATGAATATATACTGAATCTTACTACTGAGTCTTTTGTAGTATATAATATCTCTAAATTCCATGAATATATACTGAATCTTACTACTGAGTCTTTTGTAGTATATAATATCTCTAAATTCCATGAATATATACTGAATCTTACTACTGAGTCTTCTGTAGTATATAATATTTCAACTGAAAATGATTTTTTCCAAAATAACAAATATTTTGTTCTCATTTTTTGAAATGTCATATATACAGAAGAATGTGTATAAAATGTATTACTATAGAGCAAAAATTTACATACCCTTGTAAGCCCTTTATAAATATTAACTAATTTTTGTTCTTGTATCAACACTATGCTATAAGTAGCATTTAACACAGGAGGAAACAAGCACAGACAGGTGAAGTGAGGCCCAAGGTCACACAGCCAGCAGTGCTGGAGCCAGGTAGGGCTCCAGAGTTGTCATCTTAACCATTACACCATACTGTTTCTCTTTATAATTCATAAAGGCAAATGAATAATAAAGAAAGCCAACACCCAGGCACTCAAACTCAGATTCAGAAACAGAACATTGTTAGAATCTTAGAAATGCTTTGCACACACTCCTCATTCACATCGTTTTACCTCCACCCCAAACATAACCACTGTTCTCATTCTGTGAGCATTCCCTGCCCGTTTTTCTTTATAGTATTGCCATCCATAAATGAACCTCTAAACAATATATTTTAGTTTTAGTCTGTCTTTAAACTTTATATAAATAGACACTATATATTCTTATATGACTTAGCTTAAATAATTTTATTCATATTGATATGTGTAGCTTTAGTTCATTAATGTTCACTGTCTTAGTTCAGGCTGCTCTAACAGAATACCATAGACTAGGTGGCTTAAACATCAAACATTTGCTTCCCATACTTCTAGAGGCTGGAGGTCTGAGAATTAGGGTGTCAGTGTAGTAGGGCTCTTGGTGAGAGGCCCTCCTCCTTGTTCACTGACAGCTGCCTTCTCCCTGTATCCTGACCTGATGGAGAGCAGAGAGGAAACAAGCTCTCTCATAGTGTCACTTATAGGAGCATTAATCCTATTACAAGGGCTTTACCCTCATGATTTAGTGACCTTTCAAAAGCCCCACCTCCCATTACTATCCTATTGGGGATTAGGTTTCAGCATGAGTTTTGGGGAGACACATGAAGTCCATAGTTATTTGCCATTTTCAATTATTCTATTATATAAATATTTGACAATTTAGTTATCCATCCTATTGGTGGACATTTGGGTTCAGTTTTTTGCTGTTGTGCACAATGTTCCTTTAAAGTTTTGAAATGTAGTGTACCTTTGCTGGGTACATTTAACTAAGTATATGTACCTGCTGGTGGGTTTGTCCAGTCTGCATTACTAGATAGTGCAAACCCGTTTTTCAAATACCAGAACCAAGTGACACACCCATCAGCAGTGTGTAAAAGTTCCCATTACTGCATATCTTTCTAACATCTGAGGCAGTCTGAATTTTTACATTTTGCTACCCAGGTGGGTGGTGGTAACAGTATCTAATTGGAGCATTAATCAGTCTTCTCTTGGTTAATGCTGATTGTTGCCTTTGCTTGTTTCCTCACCATTCAGATTTCCCTTAAGTGCCTGCTCTTGCCCATTTTTTTAGTGGGCTTAGTGTTCCACAGATGGTGTTCTCCAAGTGTGGGTTCTTGTTCTTTGTAGCTTATATGGTACAAATATCTTCTTCTGGTATGTAACTTTTTTTTTTACTTCCCTTTTTGATGCTTTTTGATGAATGGAAGCATTTAATTATTCTTCTGAAGTTCATTCTCCCATTTGGTTTTTATTCCTTACTGTTTAATATTTAAAAATTTTATTTCATGAACCTCTACATGGTGCCCAAATTTGGTATATCTGTGTCTCATTTATCTTTGAATGGGTGCAGTTCTGTCTGGACTTTGTGTAACAGGATCCCCCTTTGCCCTTTATGTTGTTTACAGGGTAGCACTTTGAATGCCCTCAGAGAACTCTACTTGGTAGCTGGATATGATATAGTACACATGGTGGGCAAGAGGTAGGCTCCAGTTCATTGTTGCCTGCTGATGTTTCAGTTGACTGGATGGGTTCTCTCTGAGGCTACCTGATGGTACGTGTGTTTTAGAGGTGGAGCCTTCTGAGCCTTCCACTTTTTCTCTTCTTTTACATAAGAAAGTCAGGCTGGAAGAAGGGGGTCCAGTTAATGCATACCTGCTTCACAGAAAAGCCTCCTTCCCAAAGGTTTCTGACTTATTGGTTCAGTGCTGATCTCTGCTCCAGTAATTCTGATCAAGCTGACAAGCTGATCCTCAGATGGCAGTTTCCTGTTCCCTGCCTCTCATTGCCTTGAGGACATTTTGTCTGGAATAAGAAATGGGATCTGAGAAGATAGGCCGAGTGGCTACAGAGTCTTTCCTTCAGCCCCATCTCAAGCAGTTTAACAGATTCTCCCTTGCCCGCCCCTGCCGCCAGTTCTCATCTTTAAGGAATGGATATTAAGGAAAGGATAAAACCCTTTAGGACTCTCTTACCTAAAGAGAGTGAGAAAATTACAGCCTGCCTAAAGTTGGGGAGCAAGGGGAGGCTTTTAGATTTTTTTCACCCTGCCTGAAAAGTTTAAGCTTCAAGTATGTTCTGGTATGTTATATTCCAGACAAGTATGCTCCCTAAGGGTAGTGTATATGCATTATTTTACTTAATCCTTTTAAGATTATTTTTATCCTTATTTTATATCTGTGAAAACTCAGACCCAGAGAAACAAGTACTTAGTTCAAGTGATAAGTGTTAATGACTAAGATTTGAACCCAAGTTTGTCTGAATTCAGGTCAACATTTTCAGTGTGTCACACTGTGATGCTTTATGAAGATTTAGTGTCAGAATTATAGGCAGCACTACAGGAGGAAGAAACTGCTGGCAAGAATACCAGGTACAATGTTGTGGGCTTTCTGACCTGCCTCTTCCAATCTCGACTCATCTGTATATTTTCCGTTGGTTCCATCTTCATTATTCAGCCTTGTCTAGTGGTCAGTGATTTCAGGGTCCATCCCTCTTTCCTCGGCTTACCCTACTTGTAGCTCCCCTATTATTTAAGGACTGGCTCACTGTTATTTCCTGCCCTTTCAGTTTTCTTCCTAATTGTAGGGAGAACTTTGAAAACTGTCAAATGTTTTTTATTGTTTCATTCCTTCACTCCTATACAGTTTTTAGTATCCCAGAACAGAAACCAGTGTGCATTTGAACTTTTACTTTTTTTTCAGACTGGGAGACAAGACTTGAAACTAAAGAATTAACTACAAAGACAAACATTACTGAAGATTTATTCTGTGGGGTCATAATGGAAGAAGGTGTCTGGCATTCTTCTTTAGTGGAAATGTGGGAACCTGATCATTGGTTAGAGGGGCAACAGAAAAACCAGGATAGACATCTGAGTCAAGTGGCAGTTACCCATAAGGAAACCCTCACTGAGAGGACAGCATGTGGAAATGATGATTTTGAAAGATGTTCAAGTCAGGGTTCAATCTTTGATACACAACAAAGTATTCCTGTGGGAAAAAGACCCCATAATCGGAATTCATATGGAAAAGACACTAAACAAAACTCTGAATTAATTAAAACTCAAAGAATGTTAGTAGGAAAGAAAATCTATGAATGTAGTGAATGTGGAAAAGCCTTCAGCCAGAGTTCATCCCTTCTTAAACACCAGAGGATTCATACTGGGGAGAAACCCTATAAGTGTAATGTATGTGGGAAGCTCTTCATTGAACGCTCCTCCCTTACTGTACATCAAAGAATTCATACTGGAGAGAAACCCTACAAATGTAATGAATGTGGGAAAACCTTCAGTCAGAGCATGAACCTTACTGTTCATCAAAGAACTCATACTGGAGAGAAACCCTATCAGTGTAAAGAGTGTGGAAAAGCTTTCCGTAAGAACTCATCTCTTATTCAACATGAAAGGATTCATACTGGAGAGAAACCCTACAAATGTAATGAATGTGGGAAAGCTTTTACCCAAAGTATGAATCTTACAGTGCATCAAAGAACTCATACAGGAGAAAAACCCTATGAGTGCAATGAATGTGGAAAAGCCTTCAGTCAAAGCATGCATCTTATTGTACATCAGAGAAGTCACACTGGAGAAAAGCCCTATGAATGTCGTGAATGTGGAAAAGCCTTTAGCAAGAGCTCAACTCTTACCCTGCATCAGCGTAATCACACTGGAGAAAAACCCTACAAATGTAACAAATGTGGGAAATCCTTTAGCCAAAGTACATACCTTATAGAACATCAGAGACTCCATTCGGGAGTAAAACCTTTTGAATGTAATCAGTGTGGAAAAGCTTTCAGTAAGAATTCATCTCTTACTCAACATAGGAGAATTCATACTGGAGAGAAACCTTATGAGTGTATGGTATGTGGAAAACACTTCACTGGGCGATCATCCCTTACTGTACATCAGGTTATTCACACTGGAGAGAAACCTTATGAATGCAATGAATGTGGAAAGGCTTTCAGCCAGAGTGCATACCTTATTGAGCATCAAAGAATTCATACTGGTGAGAAACCCTATGAATGTGATCAGTGTGGAAAAGCCTTCATTAAGAATTCATCCCTTATAGTGCATCAGAGAACTCACACTGGAGAGAAACCCTATCAGTGTAATGAATGTGGAAAAGCATTCAGTCGGAGTACAAACCTGACACGACATCAGAGAACTCATACATGAGGAAAGCTTTCACTGGGCCCTGCACCATGATTAAACTCTTCAGTGATAATCAGACATGTCAAGCAATGTAGAAACCTAATAAATGTGGCAACTGTAGCAATCTTTTGGTTGATGTATAATGTACTCTATCAGATACTACAGAACACTGCAGAGAAACCACATACAAGCAGGGAAATCTTAATTCAGAAAGCAAAGTTTACATCAGAAGGTTTAAGTAGGTAATGATGATTTGTGCTGAAAGTAAGTCCTGTTGTATCATACTGCAGATTCTTTGGACATCAGAGACTTTACGTTGGAGAAAGAATGTGGGAGTGCTTAACAGGACTTCCCAAAGACCTGGTACACAGTACTGATCTGCCACTAACTTAGGCAAGTCACCACTTTCACCAGGTCACAGTGTCCTTATTTAGTAAATGAGGGAATTTGGATTTGGAAGGTCTCCAAGATCCCTATTAGCTCTAAAATGCTACAAAGCTGTAAGTATACTGAATGCTGGGAGATCCTTGATCTTTTAACACATCATATATGTTATCTAGATGCTCCTTTTCCACTATCTAGTTTCCTTGGGTACTTTTGAGTTAAAATTCTCTACCTCTCCCAAATCCTATTATCCCTCCATGTCTGTCCTCCTCCCCCTGCATTATTTTCTCCCCAAAAATATAGGTGGTTGCTACCAGGCAATGGAATACACAAATCTTAATACAATAGCATGCTGTTTTGAGTTCTCAATAGTCATTAAATGTTAATTATTTAGAAAACAATAAGCTTAAGCACATAGGTATACTTTATGTACCTTAGTACTTAAAATACACAGGTATCATACACTAAGTGGAAAGGAGAAGAGGCTAAACTAATAGACATGAAAATGTGACTTAATAAAATCTTTGCAACTTACAACATTCAAAACATTCATAGGGAGATTTTATAGATCTATAGTTATGATCATAAAGACAATTTCATTTCATACACATTTAATAAGTGCTAAATATGTGGTAAACATGATTAGCAAATCAAAATAAGTAAGATATATTCTTTGTTTTCCAAGGGCTAAACTAAGAAATTGGCAATGGGATAGGAGATGAAAAGAGTAATTCAAGCGATAAAGAGGCAGAATCTAAGTATATTAAATGTGGGCACTTGAATTTATTTGGATGGATGATAGGGTACCATAATTAAGAATACATGAAGTTGACTGATTCTGTGACCAATGATGAGTTCAGTCTGGGGGCATTTTAAGTTTGTATCCATGTGAAGATTCCTGATAGGCAGTAGAATAAGTAGAAGGACAGTGATAATGGGTACTTTGGGGATACTGTCATTGAGTAGGAAGTGGAGGAACTGGAATCAGTAGAAACAGAACACAAAAGCCAAAAGAAAAATGAAAAACAGAAAAATCAGGAGAAAGTGGTGCAGAAGTAAAATAATTTTAGCATAGAGATAGGAAGAGTTAATATTTTCAAATGCTACAGAGGATTAAAGTAAGGTAAAAATAGAAAATGGCCTTTGTTGATTATTGGTAAACTCTCTAAATTTTAGTGGGTTGAAGAATGAGCTAAATGTTTAAAAGGACTTCATAGTTGACTGAGAACGGAGAGATTTAGAAGGATAACTAAGAGATTGGGTTTGAGAGACGGCATACAGAAGAGCCTTTGGCTACAAATACTAGAGACCAGTTAACAGTGGCTTAGAAGCAAATAAGAGATTTATTTTTCTCTTTAACAAAGCCTGAGGGGTTGACATTGATTCAGAGATAAAAATTCAAATCCTTGGGTTTTATGGCTTTTCCATCATGGGCACTTGGTGGCTGTTACAGATTCAAGTAAAATACGTGCATTCAAGGCAAGATGAATGGGGGTGGAGAGCAGCAGCAATATCTGTGCCTTTCATCACCACAGGTTTCCCAGAAGCCCCTCAGCCCGACTTCTGCTTACATCTCATTGGTCATAGCTGTGTTACATGGAGGCTACTAGCAAAGGAGGCTGAGAAAATAAGTATTTAGCTCTTCCAGCCTCCATAGTAGAGGTAGGCAAAGAAAAGAGTTTGAGAAAGGTGTTGATTTAGCCAATGAACAAACTGCCCAGAGTGTGTTTGCATGATTACTGAAAAGAAGAGGTGTGGAGGCTCTGAAGGTGCAGAAATAAGGGCATGGGCAGCTCAAAGTCGTAAAACAAGATTTGGGCACAGGTAGGAGGAAGGAAACTTTCCACTGGGAGAGGTGGGATCAAAAAATGATGGGAACAGAAGATGTGTATGGGTGTCATTGAAGGTTCCCTGTGGACTCTGTGTGACCACTAAGGTCGAACTCATGGAGTTAGAACAAGCAAAGGGGGACTCAAACACTGGGTTAATTGTATCCTCAGACACTTTGATTTTTAGCATCTCTCCCTTAAACCCATTTCCTCCTTTCCCTTCACATGTTTCTTTTTTTAAAGGAGGCAGAAGGGATGGGTAGTAAATTCATGAAAATGATAAAGACAGCAGCAAAAAAAGGCTCAGAAGGAAGGCACAGGACAAGGGGGACAAGAAGAACAAAGTATATTGAAGCCTAAAATGGATGTGTAACTCAAAACTGGTAAAATGTGCTGGGGAAAGTAGCAGGAGAAATGAGTAAGATAAATGGAGGTTTCACTTTTTCAGTTTTGGAAGCCTTGGGCCCTTGTCAGATCTCAGTCATCCTGGGAAACAAGTAACAAGGACAGCCTTTGTACCTTTCCTTTATCAGCAGAACTCCTGATTCCATATAGCAGACATGTGACCATGGGCAAGACATCAGTTCCCGTATGTGTTACACTGCAAACATCACAGCTTTGGATCACATTAGATACTAATGTAGAGTGCTTATAAAAGTGCCCAATATGTAAGTAGTGCTCCATAAATACATTATCCTCATATATGTGAAAAGAACAATATACAAAGTCCTTAGCATGGCATCCAGAACCCTTATCTTAGAATCACTAGGCTCTCTAAACATGCCTTATAGAAAGGCTAGATAATTGTGGGAGGCTAGACTGTCCCAACAGCCTTCTCACTGGTTTCCCTGTGTTCCCTCTGGCCCTACCACCAACCAGTGATTGTCAGAATGTGCTCAGCCATGTCACTCCTGCTCAAACCCCTTCAATGGTTTCCTGTCGCACAGAATAAATCCAAAGTTCCTCTGATGGCCTATCTGGGCCTCTGGTATCCTCCCCGCCTCCTCTTACACTCTCCCTTGGTCACTACGCCTTCTCCAGTCACACTGGCCTAGCAAAGCCTCAGACTCACCAAGCACTATCTGTCTATCTTTGGATTTTCCTGTCCCCTCCCTTAGATGGCCTTTCCCCAGATATTCACATGGTTTCCTAAGTCAGCTCTGTAAGATAAATTCTAGCCGAAATAAGCAGGCGACAAGAGGCAACAAAGGGCTAAGCAGTTTATTTGAGCGCAATTCCCGGGCGATGTTCTTCAGTCTACAGAAATGGAGGCTGGGGAAGTCGCACTCAGCAGCGCAGGCAGTGAGTTTTTAAAGAAGGTAGGGGGAGGCAGAGCTTAGATTTACAGCAGTGCAAGGATTGGCTAGCCTAAGGCACATTTTTGGGTTGGGAGGGGGCAGCAGCTGGGGACTTTGGCATGTCATCAGTGTCCGACATGCTCACTCCTCCCTCTGGTGCCTCCAACCTTACATGCTCCACGTGATCTCAAAGAGAATTCCTAAAATGCTACTTAAAATAATCCCCAAATTCCCATCCTCGCACTTTATACCTCAACACAGCTTCCCCGTGTTTCACTTTTATTCTTTTATTTTCTAGTTGACTACTTCCTCAAGTAGAATTCAACTTGCATAAATTCAAAGTTTTCACTGCTATATCTCCAGCACCTAGAACAGTGCCTGACACATACGTGGCCCAAAAGTGTCAACAGCATGAAATCTTCAATAAAACTCATGAGTGCTGTAATGTCACTTAAGTTACTGATACTGCTTCCTAAGAGGTGGCCAGCATTGCCCTGATAAACTTCAGGTCACATTTTTGGCTTTTTCTACCAATGACAAAGTGAGAGCCGTTTCATCTTTACTTCCCAAGCTCCGTGAAAATACATACTCAAAAGCAAATCTCTCCAGCTGTTTTTTTCTACGTATCCCCTCGTCCTTGCCCCCCCCCCAAAATACTGTCCACAAAAATAAATACCATCTTAGTATGGCGGCTCCTCAAGAAATTAAACAGAGCTGCTGTGTGATCAGCTGCTCCATTTCTGGGTGCACACCCAAAGGAAAGGAGAGCAGAGACTGAGATGCTTATACACCCCTGCTCACAGCAGCGTTGTTCACAACAGCCAAAAGGTGGAAGCAACCCAGTGTCCATCAAAAGGGGATCAGTTAAACAAAATGTGGTGTATGTATACGGCAAACTATTATTCAGCCTTAAAAAGGAGGGAAATTCTGATGCCTGCTGCAACATGGATGAACCTTGAGCATGTTATGCTCAGTGAAATAATCCAGTCAGAGACTAATACAGTGTTTCCACTTATCGGAGTTTCCTATAATATTCAAATTCACGGGGACAGAAAGGACGGTGAGTGCCAGGGGCTAGCGTTGCTGGGGAATGGGGATGGTTTTCTAATGGGGAGAGAGATCAGTTTTGCAAGATGAAGAGCGTTCTGGAGACTGGCTTCACAGCGATTCGAGTGTATTCACTGCCACTGAACTGCATACTTATAATGATTAAGATGGTGAATTTTATGTTGTGTGCATTTTGCCAGAATATAAAAAAATAAATCAATTAAAAATAAATAAATACCATCTTCTCTAAATACCACCCAGCTGTCCACGACGGCCTCCTTGGCATCCAGGCTCCCTTCTCGGATCAGCCGGCGACTTTCTCACGCGCCCCGCTCTCGGTCCCCGCGGCCACCACCCTGCAGGCTGCCGTCCGCGGCAGCATCCTCACTCGTCCGCTGGCCTGCGGCCGACACCCCTGTCCTCCCGGCCTCCGAACCCCGGCCAGCCCGACTGCCGGGCCACACAGTTGGTATCCTCTGCGTCCCCGGGGCCGCGGCGCAGACCCGCCGCCTCCTCTAGCCACCTCGGCGCCGTCCTCCCTCCCTCAGGACCGCGCCTCCTACTCCGTCCTCAGGGACCGTCCCCGATCCAACCTCTTCACAGGACCAGGCGCCGCTCCCGCAGACTCACTCCGCTTATTCCATTGTCAACTTTTCGCTCCTTTTTATCTTTCCAGGCAATTTTGTTCGAGGCAAGAAACCTAGCCCCCGTCTGAACAGAACGGAACCATCCGCGCGTAGGGGTTAGCGCACGGGGGGCGGAATTAGCGGTATACGGACAGCGACACCCCGCACAGGCTCCTGGGAAATGTAGTTTCAGCGCGGAAAGCAGCTAGGCTGGGGAGTTGAAGGGCCGAAGAGCGCGCAAGCGCAATTCCAACCCGGGCTGCAGACTTCAGCTCATTGTGTTCTGCCTGCGAAGTGGCACTTGCGATCTCTCGCCGCGGCCAAAGGCTCCTCGAAGGGCAGCTCAGCGGTGACCAGGCACGGTGGCCAAAGCCGCATCGCGAGAGCGGGCGCCCCTGAGGGGTGGTCGGGCCCGGGGGAAGGGCGGAGAGAAAGCTGAGTAGGTCCGGGTCGTGGTCCGTTCTGGAGGACGTTGATCTGTTACCCCAAACTTCCCGGAATGGGCTGAGATTTGATTCTAAAGAGAAAAAGGGAGTCGGCCAGGTGTGGGCTCTTGGTTTTAGGGTCCGAACCTGCCAGAGCTTGTGGAAGAGGTTGCGGTCGGGGCCTCTGGCGCGTGTCCTGGAGCCGACTCCGGGCAGCCCGTTTTCGCTCCGCGGGGAGATGCTCCCGGTGGGGTTCCGAGCCCTGTGTGCGGAACTCGGCGACGCGGGGGCAGCGGCCGAGCAGCTCCCCCTGGGTGTCGCGGCAGAGCGGCAGAGGGAGGGAGGATGGGTTGTGTGAATTTGATTTCTTGCCACATCGCCCCCTCCACCCAAATAAATTGTATCTCACCCACCTTTGACTCCAGGTCACCTAAACTGGGTCCCAGAGGGGGAGAGGCCTGAGGCCATTGAAGGACTTGGCCCGAGATATACTGACAATGAAATCCAGCCTTCTTAGTTTCCTTTTTGAGGAGAAAGAAGACGACTCTCCCTCCCCATTTCCTCTACTCCCCTCCCAGGATTAGGCAGCGGTCCAGGGAAGAGAAACTTTTCTCCTGAGATCTTTAAGGGTAGGTAATTCACGGGCAAAGGCCCTAGGGTGAGTAGAAAGCGTGAGAACGGGGCCAGACGTTGCTTTCAGCACGGAGAAGTCAATGTATTTAAGATACAGAAGGGAAGATAGGATTTGACTCAGATGCTAGAGGAAAGACGGTGTAGGGGGTGTAACAGCATGGTGCGTCATTCCCTTTGGCGTGGAAATACCCTCAGAAGGAAGAGAGAGAATTGGGAGCAAAACGGGCTAAAAATTCACCACCTCGGGGTATTGGAGGACTCCCAGAATGCCAATGCTCACAGCCTCACTTTGGGCTGCTGGGTGATAATCTTTTGACCTCTCTTCGTAAAACAGGTGTGTAGAAGTTTCTAGCCTGTGGAGTCCCACTCTGCCTGTCCCTAGAAGGTCACACCAGAGAAGGAATGGCAGTCAGGCACCTGCCACCCATGGTCCAGGTGAGTTGGGGGTTGTTGTGGAGGTCTCCAACTAAACTGCCTTGGAGGATTTGAAGACAGTGGGCATGTTTCTTTTCCCTGACCGGGAGCTTTCTCCCAATCCAGTCTCACTCGGAGGTCTGACTCAGTTGCTCCTTTCTCCCCCAACCCCTCCCTGTGTTGGGCTCATCCTAGTGGGTGTTGGGAGCTAAGGAACTTGCTGAAGGTCACATAAGTGACACAACCAGAATTGGAACCCACGTTGGGTTGAATTGGAAACCTCACTCTTGCCACTGCAAGTAAGATTAGAAATCTAAATTGGTAAAGATAGTACCCACACAAGAAGCAAGAGAGACAGAAATTGGAACACTTTCTTGGGGACATGGGATTTACCAGGCTCTTTTTTTTTCTTAATGGCTTTTTACTTCAGAGGAATATTGGGTACAATGCAATCATTCAAATGTTTTTTATTCCTATAAATTACTGAAAAGCTTTGAGCAGTGCCAGCCTGTTTAGAACAAGGGTATGTATGGGCTTTAATTTGAAGCAGGTGGCATTCACTGGAGTGTATAAATTCTGATGAATTGGGCAAAATCATTCTAATGCCTTCACATTTAAGCCTGTGCAAAGCAGGAATCTGTGGTAGAAATCATTGGAAGGGATGAGCAGCCACTTCAAGATGCCATACTCAATATGGTCACTGTTCACCGTCTGCCCACCTCCTTTTGGTTTCTGACTTGTCCTTTGGGACCCATCTCAGGCAGCGTATTTTCTGTGAAGCCACAGTGCCAGTCCACTGTGATATTTCCCTTCTCCACCTTGTCCTTAAATCTACTGTTGGTATCACAGTTATCTCAGGTTTACAGACTGCCTTAATTTGGACATCATTCTACAAAGCTAACTTAGGAATGTAAAATGTGTGGGGGAGGATGATCTATGTCAGTGATACAGAGGGGAGCACCGCTCCCTGGCAGATTGGCTCATGGGTTCAATCCACTGGATGTTTCTTGGCTGTCTATTTGTAGCAGACTAATTCAGACTGCCTTAAGCCAAAGCAGGCCATTATTTAAAGGATACTGGGATGTCTCCCAAAATCCAAAGGCAAAGGTGCACCTGGGCTTTGGCTAAGCAAGTAAGGTCTAGAATAATCTAAAAGTCTTTTCATTTGGACCTTTGGCTTTCTTCTCTGCTTAGCTCTTTGTCAGTGCACATCTGGTCCCTCAGCTTCTCAGCCAAGAGTTTCCAAGGAAGGACTAGCTGTGGTCAGAGTGGCCAAGGTCGCATGGTTCAGAAGGACTGTTGCCATAAGAACCATGTGTTTGGGTTGAAGGTGGGCAGGTGAGCAGCTGAAGTATAGCAGGAATTGCTGAGCAACAAATAACAGGTGCTAGGCACATGGCCCATGACCTAGAAGACATACTGGCAAGGTAAAGGAGATGTAGAAATATGTGGCCCACAGCTTCATGGAGTTAACAGCCACTGGGGGAAACCAAAAGTAAGCCACAACTCACATATGGTGGGACTCTGCTTTGTTGGGCCTGCACAGGTGATTCGGGAGCGGTGAGGAAGTCCTGTGTTGAGGAAGGAATGTCTAAGCTGAGACCTGGGTAGGACTGGCTGTAGTTGTGGGGGTAGAAGCAGGGTGGGGCAGATTGAGGGAGATGGGAGAAAATGTTTAGGGCAAAATGAACAAAAGTGTGAAGTCCCGGTGTTGAATAAGCCTGTCTTCTCCACAATATGTGTTTCTTCAAAGCAAGGAACAGTCTCGCTCAGCCCCTAGGAGATCCTAAGGAAGTGCTTCCCACATCACAGAACACCAACCCCCCACCCCCAGCCCCACCCTGTATGCTGACAGTCCTGCAGATCTCAGCCAGTTCCTGGGGACCACCAGTCAACAGGGGTGGGTTTGCTGTTACAGGAGTTGGTGACCTTCAAGGATGTGGCCGTGCTCTTCACCCAGGACGAGTGGGCACAGCTGAGCACTGCTCAGAGGGCCCTGTACAGGGACGTGATGCTGGAGAACTACAGCAACCTGGTCTCACTGGGTACGTGGGGGGCCCCCGAAGGCCTGTCCTCACACTTGGAGATCTCTTTGGGACCCTTAAGCTGGTTGCATATAGAAGACTGGGCCGGGAATGGGTTGATTGAGGACGTTACTGTCAAGGCTGCTTCATGCCTGTCCTTCGTCTCCTGGTGCAGGACTCTTACAGAGTCCAAGTGCAGATGCCTCAAAGGCGGCAAGGAGTTGAATCCTGCCTCCCTTTCAGCAGGGGGAAAGACATGGGAACAGATTCTGGGCCGGGCCCCAGCCATCCTTTCCTCCGTCTGGGAAGTCGTCTCTACCCTGGGACTTCCTATCAAGTTGCCTTTTCCAGGAAGTTCCTAGGACCAGATGTCACCCTTGCAATGATTTTCTCTCTGGTATGAACAGATGTGGTCCATTTTTTCCCCCAAAAAACAGGACTCTTAGGACCCAAACCTGATATGTTTTCCCACCTGGGAAAAGGGGAAGAGTGGATGCCAGAGGACACCTGGGGAGGCTTCTGTCTTGGTAAGAAACCTGCATGTGGGAAGCGTTGGGACCTATACCAGGCCTGTGGATTGAGAAACAACATTATTTCCCTTCTTGTTCGCCTCCAAACCTTGTTGCCACATTTGTTCCTGCAGGAAATTACTTAGCAGTCTGTGCCTGCCTGGGCCCCCACTCCTTAATTTTCTTCTCTCCCTATTTGGCATAAATTAATAGTGTCCAGTTGGGAAAGGACATCAGGTGTCCTTTGGACATTTGGTGTGTCCTGTTGAGCATCTCACAGTGCAGCCTCTGCTCACACTTCCCCAGCGAGGAGGAACTATGCTGCTTACACATAGCAGGACAGCTTCCAGTCCCAAGGGCGGGCACCACACACGTAGGATGCTGCTCTCCTAGCTGAATGTTGCACATTTTTTCAACCACCTTCATATTTGTTCACCCTGCTGTACATACATCAGCCAGCATTTGTTGTTCTCCACCTTTTGCTGGCACTACACTGGACTGTAAGGACCATGAGAACACAGCCAGGTTTGTGGCATATTTTACCATGTCGCTCACACCCAGCATGGTGCTTGGCACTCCTAGTAAGTGGCATAGACTTATTGCCTGGGGACACAGGAACATGACAGTTGAGTGGCTGTTACTTGTTTTCAGGAGCCCACTGGGTCAGGTAGCTTAAGAGCAGAATCAGGGGTGCCCCTCTTTCCCCACCACACTATTCTGGAGAGCATATTGTCTTATGTGACATTGCAGCATTTCACTTTCAGTTAGCATTTTGCAGGCTATAAAATGTTGTTCAAAGCCTTCTGTTACTAAGTTGTCACAGCACAGTGAAGGAGGCAGGAATTTATATCCTACTATTCCTTCCATTGCCTATTAAAGTTACATTTTTCTTTTTGAAGATAACCATCTCCTCTTTTGCTTTTTAACTTGAAATTGCTGCTATAAAGAATAGTAGTCATTTCCAAGTATTTTTTCCCCTCTTGTAATTCTGTAATTCTTAATATTCTTAAAAATGTTCTTTGGGCCATTTTTAGTTTCTGTGTTTTCTTATTTTCATCTCACTTCTTAATGGCTGACTAAGACTTCAAAAACCATATAAAACAATGGTAGCAGATTTTATCTGATTTTCAAGGGATGGATTTGGAACTTTTCCATTGTTGCACTAATTACTCTTGGATTGGAATAGATGCTTTTTTAAAATTGTAGTATGAGAAAGTCCTTCTTTTAGATGGCTTTCCTCTTAAATTGTCTCTTCTTTGGGCCAGAAGCAAGCAGACGGGAGGAAGCTGACATTTGAGCACTTGTAAATGGCCTCCCTGTTAGGTGATTTCCGGGGACTTATTTTAACTGCCCCAGTTAATCCTTACAACTTGTGAGGCAAGTGTGATTAACTCCACTTACAGAAACCCAGCCTCAGAGTAGTTAACTAATTTGGGGGGATGTAATGTTATTATTTCGTGGCAAGTAGAGATCAGGGTGAAGCCAGCACGAAACCCATCCGACCCTCACACTGCGTCAATTTTTCTTCCTCTCCAAAATAGCTTTAATTACACAGAAATTGTTTACTCAGTAGGCCTAAAGAAAACTACCTAATCCCTTAATTTTATTAATTTGCTAATAGCCTTTTATATTTCTTCCTTATTTATTAATCTGTTTAAGTTTCTTTGGGTTATGTCAGTTGTACATTTCACCCTTTAGCTTTAAATTATCTCTCTTGAACCATAAAATGTATTCATTTACAGCTGTACATAGTAGTCATCTAAAATTTTAACATTTTAAATCATGTCCTCTTTCTCATATGCAATTTTATCACCATTTTATTCTCTTAAATTTGTCAGCAATTTTTTTTTAGAGAACCAGCTCTTATTTATTTTTCTTACGTGTTGTAATTTTATTTCTACATTTCACATTCTCATTTCCTTTTTTTTACTTTAAAATATGTTTGAATACTGTACATCACATATACAAAAGAAGGTATATGCTATTTCTTAACAGTTTGAAAAATCAGGAAACAGCACCCATACCCCTGTGTCTGCCTTTAGAAATGGAACATAGTGTCATGTGAAGGTCCAACTACATCCCTCCTCACCTCACCTTCCCCCCTTCATACCAGAGAGGGCCACTAGCTTGAATTGTAGGCCAGCAGCCCCTCTCCTACTACCCATGGTTTAACCACATTTATCTGTAGCTCCGAGCAATATCGTTTAGCTTTGTATGCTTCAAAGCTTGATATGTGTGTATTGTACTTCAGATAACTTTCCACACCTGTGTTTTTCAAGTCCTTGCTGAGATGAGTAGCTCCAGGTCATTTTTTTTAACTGCACTCTGATAGTCCTTCAATGCCAATACCTTAATTTATCTAGTGTCTTGCTGATAGACCTGTAGATTGCTTCCAGACCTTTTACTGTTTTGAATAATGCTGACCTGAATATTCTTGTACATATTTCCTTATTCACATGGGCCTTGTTTGGGAGTTTCTTTAGGTGTATTCATGGATGTTGAATGCTGGATTTAAAGTATATCCTTCTTTAACTCCCCTAGGTTCTCTCAGATTGCTGATTAAATTAGTTGTTCCAACCTGTACTGATAATTATGCAAGTTCCTTTTCTTTACATTCTTGGCAACATTTGAAACTGTGAGACTTAAAAAGTTCTCCTACTCCCATTCCTGAGAAGTGGTATCTCACCATAGTTTTAACTGGCATTTCCTTATTTACAAGTGAAGTTGAACATCCTTTCATATATAGATTATTTGTGTCCTATGACTTAAGTATTCATACTCTTTGCCTGTTTTTCTATTATACTTTATCTTTTCATATTTATTGTTGGCATTCTGTATCTCTTCAGGAGTCTAATACTTTATCAGTTAAAATGTATGTTGGTCTATAGCTTATTTCTTTCTTTACTAACGGAAGTTCTTAATTGATAAAGCAAAACATACTAGTTTTTGTCTCTATGATCCTTATTTTCATTCTGTGCTGTTTAAATAATCCTTTCTACCCTTAGATCCATGAGGGAAGGTCTTGTTCTTGTTCGCTCCTGTATCCCTAGCACACCAGGCCCCAGTATGTAGTTAATGAATGAAAGCATGAATTTCTAATTAAATTTACTTTTGCATTTTTTTCTGTGTAAGTCTTGTCAGAGGCTTGCTTTTTTAATAGATTTCTAATGAATAATTGTTTGACTTTGCTGATCTTATTTTATCTTGATCTGTTTCATTAATTTTCACTCTTTGTTATTTCTTCCCTTTAACTTTTCTGGAGTCCATTCAAGTATTTTTCTTTTAGTATTAAATTGTATCAAAGTAATACCTGCATTTAGTTGAATGAAACTACAATATTTATTATGAAAAACACAGCTCCTTGTCCCTCCTTTCCTTCATTCTCCCCTCTTTAGAAGTCCTCACTTTCTCTTCTCTTAACTGATTTCTTGGTATATTTGCTTTGATTCTCCAAGCAGCATGTTTGCATTGGCCCCTCTTTCCAGCTTTAGATGTTCCTTCTATAGACAGCGAGGAGTAGACTCACCTTCCCAACTGCTCACGCTGTTGCCTTTTCCATTCCCTGGCCTCCAGTGCGGTTGTGGTTTAATTTCGGTCAGAGCAATGAGTGTTCACATTGTTTAAGTGTTACTCACAACTGATCCATGTATATATTGGTCAGTAGTTTAATTGCCCCCCTTCTCTGGCTGTCTATATCTCAAGACTTTCAGATTCATGAGTCATTCTAACAATTTCATTTTTTCCTAGAAAAGTCTCTTCTGGAGCCCTCTGATCTGCTTTGTTCTAGAATAGTTGACGCCCTGCTGTCACCCTCCTGGGACCCCCCCTTTCCTATCTGCAGGCCCCATGTCATCTTTCTTGATTTACTCTCTTCTTTTGATGGCACTCATCCTCCACTAGCTTCCTAAGAAAGGACACATGGGAGTAAGTTTCGTATGACCTGGCATGTCTGTAAACTTCTTTTTTCTGCCCTGACACCTTCTGAATAGTTGACAAGATAGAATTCAACACTGGAAATCTTTTTCCTTCAGAAATTTAAAGACATTGCTCCATTGTTTTCTGGACTTGAGTCTGCCCTTGAGAAGCTCCAAATCATTCTGATTCTTCATCATCTGTGTGTGACCTGTTTTTCCTCTCCAAAAGCTTGCAGGTTCACCTCATTTACTCCAGTGTCCTTGGTAACATCCCTGTGTGGTTCTGTGTTTGTATCCACCAAGCATCGGTGAGCCTTTGGCTGAGCATTTGGTGAGCCTTTCTATCTAAATTCCTGCCCTTTGGTTCTAAGACACTTTTCTTCTAGTACTGTTTGATTTCCACCTTCAGCTTCTAGTTTCTCTTCATGGCATGCTTCTGACCTCCTGGACTGGCCTTCTAATTTTATCTTTTTATTAAAACTTCCATCTTTATGCCTTTTGTTCTAGTATTTGATAGGTTTCTTCAATTTTATCTTCCAGTTCTTCTTTTGAGGTTTTTAAAATATTTTTGATCAGCTTCATTAAATTATAATTTACATGCAGAAAAACCCACCCATTTTTAGAGTAGTATTTGATCAGTTTTGACAAATTTATATGGTTGTAAACCATCATCAAATTGAGAAAAACAACATTTCATTGTCCCTAACATGAAAGGTCCCTTACCTCTTTGCAGTTCATCCCCCCCCACCCCCACCCCCCAGTCCCCGGCCACTGGCCACACCGATCTGCTTCTGGCACGAGGAGTTTACCTGTCCTGGATTTCAGATGAATGGAATTATACAGTGTGTACCCTTTTGGTCTGCCTCCTTTCACTCAGCCTACTATCTCTGAGACTCATCCTCGCTCTTGCAGAGTAGCGTCCTTTCATCCGGATGGAGGACTGTTAGTTCATCCAGTCATCATTAATGAACATTTGGGTTGTTTTCATGTTTTGGCTAAACCTACTGTGAACATTCTGGTGCAAGTTTTTGTGTGGACTTTTTTTAGTTCAGATACTTGTGAACATAAGTTTTCATAAGGTAAAGGTCTAGAAGTAGGAATCCT